AGAAAGAAGGGCTGTTTATGCACAGGGAGACAGCTCAGGGGGCAGGAGTGCATGGAGGGATGGACAAAGGGAAGAGGTAACTATGGAGAGGAAGTGGGAGGGTAGCTATTGCATTGTGGTAAATTGTAGTCAATGTCATGAGACAAAATGCATGTGAACTGCTATATGGAAAGTGAATTTGCTCTGTAAATTTTCACCCAAATCACAATTAAAAAAAAAAAAAGAATTCCCAGGTATATGGTAGAGCTGACAAAGGACAAGGTTGTAGTCACTTCTTGGGCACAGCTGGCTACCCATAGGGACTGAGTAGTTGAACCTGTGGGTTCAGTACCATAGTCGCAGGGGAGATCAAGCTCTATGGGCATAACATACTACACAAAAACATTGTTCGACCTCCTATTTTGGTGAGTAGCAACTGGGACCTTAAAAGCTTGCAAGCAGACATCTAGATGCAGCAATGGGTCTCTCCCTGTCCACAGCAAAGAAGAATGAAGAAAACCAAAGATTCATGGAAATAATTAGTCCAAGCAACTGGTACACCATGTGATCCTCAGCCTATACGACTATGAGACCAGAAGAACTAGATGGTGCCCAGCTACCACTGTCAACCACTCGGCGGGGGATCTATGTAGAAGATCCTGGATAGCAACGTGGAAGAAAACTCATGATCATTTACGAAAAAAAAAAGGGGACCAGGTTTGCTGGTCTGATAGAGCCTGGTGGAACCATCGAGACTATGGTCCCTAGCTACCCTTGATGTGTGGAATTGAACCCACATCTGTGGCTTCCAGATAAACAAAAGACAGGCATATGAGGTAAACATTTACACTAGGTAGATACACTCCTTGTGGAGAAGAATCATGGGAGAATAGAAGGGCTATGTATGCACAGAGACATAGCTCAGGGAGCAGGAGTGCATGGAGGGATGGACACAGGGAAGAGGTAACTATGGGGAGGAAGTGGGAGGGGAGCTGTTGCATTATGGGAAACTGCAGTCAATGTCATGAGTGAAAGTGTATGTGAACTGCTGTATGGAAAGTGAATTTGCTCTGTAAACTGTCACTCAAATCACAATAAAAAAATAAATAAATAAATAAAATATATATATTTACTAGTTAATATGGTGACATTGGGAACTCTGGTAGCATAGTGCCTAAGGCACTTGACTGCTAACCAGAAGGCTGGCAGTTCAAACCCACCAGCCACTCCTCAGGAGGAAGATGGGGCAATCTACTTCCGTAGTGATACTGCCTTGGAAACCCAAGGAGGGGTCGCTATGAGTCAGGTCCGACTCTGTGGCACATAACAACAACAACGTGGTGACATTAATATTAATGAAAGAAAAGATCATTTATGTAACTCCTATAGGTGCTCTTCCTTCTCCTCACACCTTCCAAGGATTAGTTAAAAAAAAAAAATTACAATGTAAACATGATCTCAAAAGACCTCATTTTCATAAACAGTAAAGACATGTGCTATTACCTTGACCTCCTGCCAATAAGGTCCCCCACGGGTGAACATGAAGTAACTGTACATCTGATTCTTCCTCTGGATTATATCCGTGTCCTCCCTGATATTCACCATCCAAGGCCTACCATCCCCACGGACACGGAGATACAGAGTGTTGAACTGAGACCAATCATATGACTTCTTCCTTTCAAATGGGCCCTGTGGTAAGGAAAGTTAATATGATCTTATTTTCCATTATTAGCAAACTGTGAGTATCACCAAATCACATCATCGAAAGGATCTATTACTTATGCTTCTGCTTTTTGGGGGGGCTTCCTACAAAGATAAGACAAACAAATCTGTTGATTCATATTTTAACACAAAAACTATTGGCATAGTTATATATTTCTAAGGTAATATTCAAAACACAATTGGCCCAGGACAGTGTTTATAAGGAGTAGATCACTTGTGTTCACTGAATGGACGTGAATTACTACATGTATGTTCCTTCACTGGTCCTATGAACAGCTTCTGAGTAGTTCATTTATGGCAACCCCCTCTCTATAAATCAGAAAATGATAAAAGATAGGCTTGAATTTTAAAACTGATATTTAATAACAATAACAGCTACCATTCATTGAATATTTACATAGGCATTTTACATGTACAATCTCATTTAATCCTCACAATAATAATAATAATGAGATAGGTAACATCATTGTCTCTGTTTTACAGATGAAGAAACTGAGCACTCAGCTAGTAAGTGGGCGATCCAGAGCTGTTTAACTCCAAAATCTGTTCTTGATTAATTATACTGTCTCTCTCTTCAAAAGTGGAATTTAGTGTTAATTTCCAAAGAAGTCTATTTATAACAATCTCAGATAATCTGATTTCAAGAATACCAGGGTTCATCTATGAACAAACTATGTAACTCTGGACAAATTACTAATTCTCTTGGAGCCTTAGTTTGTTCATTTGCAAAATTGGAATAATCATACCACACAGGATTGTTGCCAAGAACAAGAATACTAATGTATTTTCTGCCTAATACAAGGATTGCCAGAGTACACTTAATCGATGTTATCTAATATTTTCACTAGTTCAGAGGGTTTCTACCATCCTGCGGATTTTCAGGGCCTGAAAGAATCATCTTTGAAACAATTATGCGTTGTTTGCTGCCTCTGCTAGAGCACATACTCTTCTTTTTCATTATTATGCAGAGAAAGGGAGCCTAATACCACTCTTGACATTTGCCTTTCTTCTTAACCCACAATACGAAAGCAAACATCCAGGAAGTGTGGCAAGGGCCAAGCATGGGAGCCTATCTGGGACAGCTCTAAAACAACAACTGATCAATAAATTCTCCAAAAGTCATAGACTGGTCATAGAAAATATCAACTAACTTAAGTAACTTTGGAAAATGGTGTTTTGACTAGAAACTGAAAGGCAAAAAAAAACAAAAGAAACTGTACATAAACATTGTACTCTAGTTGGTAAAGTTGTTTATCGAGACAATTACAGGTTCAAAATTCTGAAACTGCTTTATATATATACTGAATTAATAAATGGAAGATGAACCCTTGAGACTATCATCATGAGCTACCCTTTAAACTTGGAATGTAACCTACTCCTAGGGGTCACCTTTCAGCCAAATTAATAGATCGGCTCATAAAATAAGTAATATCATCCATGAGTATAGTACTCCTTTAAATAATCATCTATATGAGATGAAATGGTAAATATTTACCCAAAAGCAAAAATGAGAAAGTAGGAGGTGGGGCAGGGAAGCTAGATTAATGGAAACAGAACAACTAGAATGTTAATAATGAGAATGCTGACACTGTGAAAAATGTAACCAATGTCACTATACAATAGGTATAGAAATTAGTCAATGGGAACCTAATTTGCTGTGTAAACTTTCACCAAAATACACAAAATAATAAAAGAAAAATAAATAAATGGATAGTGGATGGTAGAAGACAGGTTTCTCACTGCTGGAGAAGGAAATTACAGATAGGCAAAGCAGAGAGGCTATAATGAACCATGTGGTACTGGATTAGAATTGGAGGTATCAGTATGAACTAATGTCTAGCTTAATGCAGATGGACCAAAAAACAAACCAAACTCACTGTCATTGAGTCCATTCTGACTCATAGTGACCCCACTGGGTTTCCAGCACTAAATCTTTATGGAAGCAGAGTGCCCCATCTTCCTCCTGTAGAACAGCTGGTGGATTTGAACCACCAACCTTCTCGTTGACAGGTGAATGCCTTAGGCACTTGCACCACCAGAGTTCCTTCAATATAGATGGACAGATACAGAAATAATAATTGAGATGTGTATACATAGTTGGTGGTTCAAACCCACTACCCACTCCTCAGAAGGAAGGTTGGGCAATCTACTTCCGTAGTGATTTTGTTGTTGTTGTTATGTGCCATCGAGTCGGCCCCGACTCATATACCACCTCGGAAACCCAAGGAGAGGTCGCCATGAGTTGGGTCCCACTCAATGGCACATAACAACAACAACAACAACAGTAATGACACCGTAATAGCAACAAGCACACTCAGCACCCATATCTGAGTTTCTAATACCATTTCCCAAAATAAAAGAAACTTCCTTTAAGGAACGGTTGACTCTGTGAAACATCTCATAATACAGATAAACCTAGAGGACATTATGCTACATTAAATTAGTCAATCACAAAAGGGCTACTATTGCAAAAGGCAAAAAAAGTGTTTCACACAAAAAGAAATATTCTTTGATAATTACCAGTGGTGAGTGGGGAGCTCTGGTAGTATAGTGCCTAAGGCACTTGACTGCTAACCAGAAAGCTGGTGGTTCAAACTCACCAGCCACTCCTCGGAAGGAAGGTTGGGCAATCTGCTTCCCGTAGTTCCGTAGTAATATTGCCTCAGCAACCCAAGGAGGGGTCGCTATGAGTCGGGTCCGACTCAACAGTACATAACAACAACAACAGTGGTGAGAGGAAAAGGGTAGGTAAACCACTAAATAGAGGGTTGTTGTTGTTGTTGTTGTTATATGCCGTCGAGTCGGCCCCGACTCATAGCGACCCCTCCTTGGGTTTCCGAGGCAGTATCACTACGGAAGTAGGATTGCCCAACCTTCCTTCCGAGGAGTGGCTGGTGGGTAGACACATATTAACTTGGGTGAAGGGAAAAACAAAAAGAAAAAGAAACTGCTGATTCTAAGCCTGGGACAGGAAAAATACAAGACGAGCCTGAGTATTTTACAGTGCCAAAAACTGCTCCAAAAACAAAAAGATGGGAGCATGTGAAAGGGACACAGGCACTAACCTGAAAGAGGTTCCACTGGTCAAAGCTGGAATAATTTGGGCAATAAAATAAATATCGTAATATTGGATAATAAATAAAAGTATAAGTCCATACTAAATGACTGAACGACTAATGTGGAAGAAGAAAGAAATCTTCCTTACATTAGAATTCCAAATATTTTATATTCCTCTTCCCTCTTCAGGAGACAGAGTTTAACCCCTTCCTCTCACCCCAAAATGTGGGCTACATTTCTGACTCACTTCCAAAGAACAGAGTATGGAAAGGAGGGAAAAAAGTAACTTTACAGTGGAGAAACCTAGCAAATTCTACCCTGGCTAGGTGATCAGGGTCAACATCATCAGTGATGGGTGATGTTGACAATATCCACTCTGACATGATGAGAAGGGTACTCAACTGCAAAATTCACCCCTCAAATCTCATAACTCCAATCCAACCAAGAGGACAAAAGACATCAGAAAAACCCAAATTGAGGGTCATTCTATCAAATACATAACCAGTAATTCTCAAATCCTCATGAAAAGCAAGGAAAGGGCAAGAAATTGTCACAGATTAGAGGAGACTAAGAAGGCATGACAACTAAATGTAAAGTGCTATCCTAGAAGGGATCCTGGAGCAGAAAAAAGATATTAATGGAAAAACTAGTGAGATTTGAATAAAGTCTGGAATTTAGTTAATAGTAGTATACCACTGTTGGCATATTATTTACAACAAATGTACTAAAATGAGATGTTAACAATAGGGGAAGCTAGGTGAGAGGTACACAGGAACACTCTGTACTACCTCTGCAACTTTTCTATAAATCAAAATCTATTGTCGGATTTTTTTTTTTTTTAATTGTGATTTGGGTAAAGATTTACAGAGCAGATTCACTTTCCATACAGCAGTTCACATACACTTTGTCTCATGTCATTGACCACAGTTTACCACAATGGATCCATACAGCAGTTCACATACACTTTGTCTCATGTCATTGACCACAGTTTACCACAATGCAACAGCTCCCCTCCCACTTCCTCCCCATAGTTACCTCTTCCCAGTGTCCA